TGGTGATTCAGTCTCTGTTTAGGGTAAATCAAGATCCTTGACCCAAAATAAAACAAAACAGAAACCCTAAGCAACGCTCCCAATTTACCCTAAATTAAGATAAGTATGATGTATTCCGACTTTTCCGTTACCATGATCTAGATGGGAAGCGATTTTGTTTGATGACATCCCATCAAATTTGTATGTAGTTTAGTCCAGGATTCTGAAATTATGGGAATGAGTAGCAAGCTGACATATGATATTAAAGTGAAAATATTTTCTAAGGTCTCTTGCAGAATATGTTTTTCTAGATTGAGGACTAGAGCTAAGAATAGAAATGATATAATTTTCTTCATTTGTGTGGCTATGGGGAACATCAGCAAAGTATTACAGGCATTGAAGTCAATAGCTTTTCTTCCATGTGCCATTTATGTGTTGCATTTATGTTCCATCTATAAAATAAAAATATGCAGGCAGAGAGCATCCTTGGGTAATTACAGCAAAATAACACTAGCAGAAGATAATAGGCAGTAATTTGGTTACAAAGACTAGAACAAATGAGTCCTAGATGATTACTTATAAATAAAATATTTCTCATTAAAAAGTATTGGTGAAGAATCTTGGTCCCAGATATGTCAAAAGGAAAAAAAAAAAAAAATCCTATTAATTTCAGTGAAGACAGGATTTCGCTTTTTGATGATTTCTTATTACAATAATTTAATAGCATCTCAAGAGAAGTCTTAAATCTAATTTGTCAGCTTGTCTGCAGTGTTTATTTGTTTGCATTGCATTTTGGTATTCTCTGAAGTTAATTTTATTAAATGGTATAAAATGTAAAAAGGAGCCTAAGCGATCTATGAATAATAATTGGGAAAAGGATTTATATTGTATTGGTTGTTTTCAATGTTCTGCATGATACATACAGTATTTGTTCAATGAGATTGTCCTGTTACAGTGCACTTCTCAAAACATGGGTTAACTATGTCAGGTTTTCCATGACCACACTGCATGTATGCAAATTGTGAATCTGGTGGTATTTTCAGTATATGCTGTTTCCTTGGTTCCCAGTTTCTGAAATGGGCTGCTTGGTGTTATTCACAACTTCTGCCTCTACTCATGGCTTGAGAGTTCCCTTTCAAAAGGAATAAATAGTGCATACTGGGTTCTCATCTTGGTCTTCCATCAAGGCATGATAAGGTTGTGTGCCTGGATTTGAGAAATGTCTCAGGGTCCTCACAAGTAGCATCTACCGCAGAATCTTTTTGAATTTGGTTGCAATTTGTGATTTAAAAGGAACTGCCACCTGGTCCACCTGTCAAATCTGGTTTAGGGTAAAGGAAAATTTACTGGTTCCTTAAAAAATGCTATATATAGTCCTGTAAAATATTCTCAGTAATGCAGGCTATACACAGTTACTGAGGATTATACAAGGAAAGCACTTGAAGAGAACAGGCTGCTTTTATTAACTAAAAGAAGCCCTATCTGAGCTCAGTAACACTGCACCTTCAAACCAGTAAGTATTTCTGCTTGTATTTTATAGTTCATAAAAACTGATTTAGGAACAATTTATATGACACATGTTTAGGGTTTTGGCAATTTGTGAAAAAGCCAACATTTTACAAATGTGCTTATTGCTTAGAAGGCAAACTATATATAAATAGGTATATAGTTGTACAAAATTATATCAACCTATGCTAACTCTCTGAGGCAAGCATTCAACAAATGGTTCTGAGGAACTGTGATGTTCAAAAATACGAAAAAATGATTCACTTGGCATCGCCAGTGATGTAGATCGGTGTCCCCGAGGATGCCTAGTCCTAATGCAGGAGAATTAGCCTTTAAAATTAAAATTCTGAACAGTCACTGCAGCAAGCACCGTGACACTGAAGTCAGCCTGTAGGAACACGAAAGATAACAACATGTGAAATTCTCTCTCATGTGTTTATGTCACTGCTATAGCTACACGTCTCTGAAAATGGGTGCTTAGGTGAGTAGGTCTTGCTTCTCCTTTCTACTTTGGCACTATGAAAAAGGATAGGTCTGGTCCTGTTCACTGCTTATGCATTTGCAGTAGTGAAAATGAAAAGAGAGAAAAACCACCCAGAATGTATGAAACCACAAGAGAAAGCAATGCAGGGATCCCCAAGACACTCTGAGTGATCTGACTGCTGGTCACAGTGTTCTGCATCATCTCGTCTGTCTGCTACACATGCAAAATGTGCAATCCTGGCTACACAAGGAAGCCCTTCAGCTTCTTTGGTAGGAGACAAGGAGTTAAATGGGTTTTCTGGTGATATGCTTGACTAAATCACCCAATTTTAGCTATCTGGAATTTGGACATCTAGTTTAAGCTAGTTGTTACACTTATAATGTAGTGTGGTACATTGAGGTATAGACACATCCGGAGTGTACCAGAGTGAACAAGTGTTCATCCCAGTTCAAACTGTTATTCAGAAATTCTCCAGAAAAAAAGTAGCCAGGATGACTAGCCTGAATGTTTGAAATATGTTATATTCCCGACTTAATAATTTAAAACTCACAACATTTCTCCACTCTCATTTTTGTAAAAAGACCCCCCCCTTCATGTAGACATCTTTGGGAAAAATGTGTGCAATTTGTTGAAGATCACTCAAAAGGAGCAGATAGCTCTTCCATTTGGGAATCATTTCATGCATTGTCAATGGTGGTTTTATTCCTTACATTTTAGACAAAAAGTGTTTAATGTTCTCTACAAATGATGCTGTTGAACTGTCAGTTCTAGGAACTTGTTTTGAAATCCTGATGGAAGAAGTGCTGTCTTGTTGACATTAGTCTCAAGGAGGATTTCATCCCCTCCCAATGTGCTTAAGTAAGAGCCATTGCTAAGCAGGGCTCTCCAAAACCGATGTTATGCATGAACTGAAGTCTGTTCTTGAATCGTGCCTGTGGTTTGGTGACTGTCATTCTCTTTCCTCTGAGTGGGAATGAAGCAAGAGGCAAAACTGCTTGGAAAATGCCAAAGTACTGCAGTTCTGTACATCCTTCATCTTCATTCAAACTTAATCTGATTGGGAATAAGACCAGGGGGATTCTGCCTGCCCATCTAAGTGTCCTTGTTACTACTGTACCTCTCTCCTGGACTCCCCATACATCACCAGAGAAGAGAAAGATGATAGCTTGTTTCTTTGATTGTTGTTCTCCTGAGATAATGAGACCATCAATGCCCTTTACATTTCTCATCTAGGAAATGACAAGCTTAACTAGATTTGCTGTCCCTGCAGAAAGGCAATGGTCTTGATCTTCTGACAAGATTTGTTGAATTACATAGGTCTGTAAAAAAAGGAGTTTACAATCTAGGTAGGAAGTATGGCCACCTGAATGGTATACTGGGTTGTTTTGGTTTTTTAACTGACTATCTACAGGACATAAGTAAACATCATTGATCAAACAAGGTGAAAGGAATTGCCCACACTTAGAGATGAGAGAAGCTGTTTTATTTCCTGCAACACAGATCGGTTGGCTCAGGAGGACAGCATTTGAAACAAATGTGATACAGTTTCACATAAATCGCTGAATTCCTCTAGTTTATTTGAAACAGGATGTCCTTAACTCTGTTTATGGTAGATGAGAGCTCACCTGTCACATACAGACAGAGAATGAAAGTGGTGCTGAGATTAAGGACTTTTTATCTGGAAGGGACAAATGTATAGAGAGCATTTGGGGGAAAATAATTCTGGCACTTGCTTTTTATACTGTGCACAGTTAAGATACTGTCCTTTTGGGGTTTCTCCTCTTCAAGTTACTAAGACAAACACAGCTAACTTTATTTAGCTTGGTACAGGGTAAAGATTTTTGCCAGTCATTAGCATACAGAGATCAAAACATTCTGAAGCAAAGGGACCTGCATAGATTTAGGACAGATAAAATTTGACCTCCCTCATATTCCTTTTAATTTCAAGTTGATACTGAATCATTCATAGATATAGGCAAAGGGCACACAGGTGGAAGTGTCGTGCTACGCCGCTGAGAGAAGGCGTTTGCGCACCCTTAGACAAAAGAAAGTGGAGCAGTACTTCTTGCCTTCAGTTCCTGTGTTGTCCAATGCGTGTGAAATTAATGTCTCCTCAAAATAACAGCACAACGTGAGTGACGGTGACCTTATAATTATGTGAAATACTACTGAAATCACAATGAAAAATGTTAGTGCTTCAAAATATCTGGAGGGTGTGGCAGTTATATTTAAAGGAGGCTGGAAAGACTCTACGATAAAAAATAGCTCTTTTTGCACTTTCAAGGAAAGTAGTTTGACATGTATTTTTTTCTACATAAATCCACACTAGATATATATAAAAAAGATGTTTTCCTTGCCAGCTGTAAATTTTATTAATCGCATGTTTATTCTGTAGAGCAATCTGTCTTTTTTTTTTAACAAGAAACAATATATTTCATAGTATGATTACGTGAAAGGCCACTGATATGCTTAGAATTAACAAGCTGCTCAAGTTCCTGATTAGAGCTCTCATAAGTAAACTCAAAATAACTTCTCATTACAGGGTTTCCTTTTGTTATGTTATAATTTAAAAATATATATTTGGTTTTAATTTTATATGCTCTTTATGTTAATCAAATTAGATTTTTTATTGTGGAAAGAAAAAGAACTTTTATGACAAGTTATTTCTTCAGATGCAATAGAGAATCATCAGTGGAAAAATATCCTTGTTTTTTGGCATGACAATGAATTTACTAACTCCCTCTTTTTTTTGTTTAATCAGGATTAAACATAGATAAAAGAATTTCAAAATAAATTTCACAAATGTAGTCTGACTGATCTGAATCAGACACTGCCAAAGTATAATACATCCATATGGGCAAAGGGACATCAGACCACATAATACTAATTTCTTTTAATTATGTACCGTAGAGGGGTTGAAAGTTCCCTTGGAAGGTGATCGACTATTTCTAATATGATTTTCAATGATAACTACACTGACTCGTTGTGTATGGTTTTTATGTTTGTTTTTGTTTTTGTTTTTTTCCTCTAGGCTGTACTTTGGAGGTACAAGTTTTCCCAGCTCAAAGGTTCTTCAGATGATGGGAAGAGCAAAATCAAATTTTTGTTCCAAAACCAAGATACTAAGCAAATTGAAGCAAAGGTAAAAAAAATACAGTTTGTTTTTTTGTAAAGGCAATGTACATTAAAAGTAGTTATCAAAGCAGCTAGTGGAATGGAGGAGTAAATTAAACTAAATTACTTAGAAATACTGGATTGATGTACACAGTAAAAGAATGCAAAGAAAACAAAAGTGATTCCAAGAAAAGAAAACTGAATTGTTTGCTTGGATTTTGGCAAGTTTAAAGTCTTTTGAAAGTTGTAATTATATTAAAAAATAATTTTAAAAAAAGGACTCACTATATATGGTTTTAAGCAGATTTACCAACTCTCCTTGTTATCACTTTGATAAAGCCAGGTGAGAGCTTGAATGCCCGGTTTTTCACTCTATACTCATATCATCAAGAAATTGTGCAAATATATCCTCAAGTCAACCTGAGGACAAAACACCGCAAAGGTCTAAAATCTGGTTTTATTTCTCTGAGCAAAACAGTGTGGATTAAACACGTCCTCCCTACAAGACTGAAGCTTCATGTCTGTGTCTAATTCATAATCAGCAGAGTTGTGTATTCAGTTGTGCTTTTGATTCAAGTGTTAAATTATGAAAACAGTAACCCTGAGAGATTTATGCTTAGTTTGATTTATGTGTTTTGAGAATAGGGCATTTACTGTCCCCACATGTGTGAGGATCTTTGATAGCTGGAACTGTCTGAGAGTCTGGATCCAAAGGTCTTTTTGACTAGAATCCTAGTTTTTGTGTAAACTTGAAGACTATTTACTTGGCCATCATTAAGCCTTGCTTTTGAACCATTTTTCCTGACCATGTCAGAGAGAAAGTTGCTGATTGAATGTGATAACAATACGATTCCACCAGCAAAAAGGAAATGCTTAACCAAATTGTTGTTTATAAGGGCTAAATATACACAGCATAATAAAGTGCGTAAAGAAAAAAGGCATTCTATCAGGGCCAGGTGTGAGTTTAAATGCAAATAGCTACATTAAGCAATTGTTTTTCCTTCCTGCGTGTCTCTGTATGTTTGGTATTAATTATTTTCTGCCTAACTGCTATTTACTTGATTCTGGACGTTGTACTCAGTACAATAAAGGTATGTAAGAGCTCCCATTAAATTAACGGCAACAAAACATGGTGGGCCATGGCTTTCAATACCTTCGTGTTCTGCTACATCTCAAAGACAAATATCTTCTTACTTTTGATTTCCTTCAGAAATTGTTTTAATAGTACAGAATTTCTTTTCATCTCTAATAACAGCCTAATGCCGTGAGGATGATATTTGCTTAAGCAATTAAGTGGAATCTTTTATCATGCTCCTAAGTACAGCTGAAGGATGAAACTCATGATTATTTTTCTAATATCTGTCTGTTACTGCTCTTATATTAGTGATTTTGGAACAAGAAATTTCACCGGAATCCAAGAATGGGGCAATGTTTCTTTTTTTTTTTTTTTTCAGTAAAACTGAATATATTTTTAATACTAAATTAAATTTTTAAAAAATTAAAAACAGAGTATGAAATCCACATTTTTAAGAAGAAAAATAGTTTTCATCAGAATGTTTTCATGTTTTAAATGAAATCTGTCATGCAAATTACTTTATAAGCCTTAGAGATATCCTGGGACCTTTATTGTACCTATTGTTATTCCCACTCAAACTGAATAGAGCTTTATTTCTAGGAAATTTCATCTTTCTACCTTTTATCATGGTAGAAATTCTACCTTCTACCTTATGAAGGCAACATATTTTACAGACTTGCTATCATGCTTATTAATATTCTGTCATGATCCCTGGTTGCTTCACTTTATAATAAATTTAAACTTTCCCATTTGGAAATAAAAATTTGTTACTTTTAATTCATTTTCTTGGTGATCAAAGCTTAGCAGTTACATCATGATCAAAAAATGTCAGAGTATGTTGTCTTTGGAAGGTGCTATGGCATTTCTAGAGAGTATTTCAATCCATTCCAACTTGTTTACATATGAAGTGTGTTGCTTAGTCTAAGAAATATAGATAAATCTGGCTGTAAAGTGAATGTAAAGATTCTTGTGCCATATTGGATAGTTTAAAATTCTATGGATAGGCCCCTTCAGTATCCTTTAAGCCTTTCATGGGTTTAAAGTGCTATTCAGCATGAGAAGAGGTGGAACGATCTAGCCTCTGTTTTTTGGACTTTGGTAGCATTACCGAGTTAGAGGTATAGCTATTTGGGGAACTCTTGAGTCATCAGGAAATGTTAATCAGATTTTCAGTAATGCTTGTAGTGCAAGGTTTCATGCATACTGTATGCAGGCTTCATTTGGTATCAGATGATGGGAATTTTGTAAAACATCTGTTAAAGGTTGTGATGAATATTCATGGCCACAGCTATCATCACCTGTTAAATGCAGCTCTGTGCTTCAGATGGCCTGGAGACCCACTGTTGTAAGAGGAAACAGCATAACATTTTGTTTATGAAAAGATAATTTTTTGCTAGTTATATTATATGGGGAATAATCAGAATATAGTGAATTGAAAGCTCACAGCTGAGAAAAAGCCAAAAATCTGAGGAGCTGTTGCCCCAGCATGTTAGGGCTCTTCACTTTTTCATTCCCGAGCAATATCGTGGAAGCAGGACATGGCAGATATCTTTGATACAGCTTAATACAGTCACTAGAACTGAGAGTGCTTTTTTCTCATCGTTAACAATAACACACGCTATGCAGAACCTGCTACAGCGTATGTGTACCTGATCTGAGACTCGTGCTTTCTTTCCTCCACGGTCTGTTTTCCTCCATCTCAGAGTTTCAGCTATGGCACTGATGGAATGTGTTAATGTATTTAACGCACTATAGTTCACTTGCTCCCTTCAAATGTAAGATGGTCTGGCCATAGGGTTTTTGTTGGTTTTTTAAATAATATTACTTTCATCGTAGTCAACAGCCAGCTGAAAATGAGCCATCAGTGTGCTCAGGTGGCCAAAATGGCCAACAGCATCCTGGCCTGTATCAGAAGTACTGTGGCCAGCAGGAGTAGGGAGGTGGTCATCCCCCTGTGCTCGGCACTGGTGAGGCTGCCCCTTGAATGGTGGGTGCAGTTTTGGGCCCCTCACTGCAAGAAGGACACTGAGGTGCTGGAGCGTGTCCAGAGAAGGGCAACGAAGCTGGGGAAGGGTCTGGAGCACAGGTCTGGTGAGGAGCGGCTGAGGGACCTGGGGGTGTTTAGTCCAGAGCAGAGGAGGCTGAGGGGAGACCTTATCGCTCTCTGCAGCTGCCTGAAAGGAGGGTGCAGTGAGGTGGGGGTCGGTCTCTGCTCCCAAGTAACAAGCAACAGGACAAGAGGAAACGGCCTCAAGTTGCACCAGGTTTGGATTGGATATTAGGAAAAAATTAGTCACTGAAAGGCCCGTTCCAGTGGGCTGCCCAGGGAAGTGGCAGAGCCACCATCCCTGGAGGTATTCAGAAGATGTGTAGAGGTAGCACTTAGGGACGTTGTTTAGTGGTGGACTTGGCAGTGCTGGGTTTACGGTAGAACTTGATCTTAAAAGTCTTTTCCAACCTTAATGATTCTATGATTCTATATAATTCCTTCCTATAAAAATATGAAGTATCAAAATCCAGATGCTTCCTGTCTTCCTTCATTTCCAATGCTGCTCAGTTTGTGTATCTCATGCTATCCCAGATGTGTGTGATTATGGCATGTTATATCTGTGCTATAGAACACTTGCTCATTATCTAGAGAATTAAGACTGGCAGAGTGCTTAGCTATTGAATTTTGATCCAGATTTTAGATAAATTTGTTATTATTCTAGAAATACAGTCGGACCTGGAGATGGACATTGCTTGGAAAAAAATAATTATGCAGCAGCATTGTAAATTTTAGCTATACTGTCTTCATAATTGTCCAGCATCTCCTCTGTATTCAGGTGGAATATACAAACCTATCCCTGTTAATGTTAGAAGAATCTAGCAAAAATACTTTTTGAGAGAAAATGCTGAACGACATCCATTCATCAGCCCGCTTTTTTTTTTTGAGAAACACACTTGCCACCAGAGTTTATATTCATAAGTGATAGAAAGTCCTTCACTGGCACTGAATAACTAATATTTTTATAGTGCTGTCGAATTTTTTTACAATGTGCTTCATGCCTGACTTAACAAAATTAAGAATGGCATGAGACACACAATGTGTGCTATGGATTTAGTTACACTTTGACCAGGTATACTTCTTTTCAGCTTGACAATAATTTAAGATATTTAAATATTTGCACTTGTCTCTCAGATATTGTTAAAATACTGCCTTTTTTTCTGCAAGACTTAGTACTGATGCTTTTGTTTGGCTTCCCTCTAAGTAATATCATGTTACTATAAAGATAGATAGTGTAATATAAAAGAAGATTTAAGCAATTCCAGTCTGAAAAATCTGAACAGTAATTACCATAGGTCACACCAGTGGGTCCATGGCACGATGCCGGGATGCAAACACCTAACTTGGAGGTTTCTAAGGCAAGATCTAAGTGGATTCTGAGGAGAAAACCACTTAGGGGCAACATTACTCACCGATACCCCTTAGACA